CGTTTACCCACTCCGGGTTTCATATCTTAGTACGTTAAACATGTACGGGTGGCCTTGGGGCTTCGTAATGTTTTGTCCTAGTTGCGTGTTAGTTGGGTCTGTCCTGTAGTGAAGAGTTAAAGTTCACAATCGTATCTTAACCGAGAAGACACAGACAGTGTATTCAACGCGTTGAACTTCGCGACCATAAGCCGATTCCCCTTTACTAACTGGCCTCTCTAACTAACGGCCAGAGTCCGGATAAAATGTCAGTATCAGGCCCTATTGCCCTTGAGATCCCTTAATATCTGAAAAACGTATGAAATTAAATCGTAAATAATAATGTGCAACGTAACAACCTTCCTCGGCCCCATCTTAGGAAAGTAACGGTAAAGAAGTGACATCGAAACAACGTATTCTGTTGACTTCATAGTGGTCCCTCACGGAGGGAAGTCACGCCCAGTCGACTGTTTTTCTAATCAGAAAGGGCACGTCGTGAGAGAAAGTGGAAAGTAAAACTCCAGACTACACAAAGGACACGCGTCGGTAAGATTCTGACATGTAGCTGGCGCCGTCCAGACCTGTCGCTGCAGCCGGTCTCTTCGACGGGCTAAAGCTGGCCGTTCGCGCCCCGCGTGCGAGGCCTGAGCTGCTGGGCCTGATGCGAAGTTCTGCCCTTGGGACGCGAAGTAGCAACTTCGAGTTTGTCCTGCGTTGAAGTTGGTCCCATGCAAGTGGTGGAAAATAATAAGAAACGAAAAAGTTAACGGTAAGAGAAGTACAGAAATACAACCATTTCGTGACACCTTCCGAACAACTTTCAACCAAATTTATTGCCGGAACGGCCTTGTGAAAATCTAAAACATCGAGTAACTGTAACAAATTTCTCCAGTGAAAAGAAACACCTATATTCCAAAACATCGTACAAATTACAGACTTTAGGGACACAAGAGAGGGTGTGACAGTTACAATAATTCCCCAATCGACTACCACCAAATCGGTTCGGTAATCGAATTTGGAAACCGATACAACAAAGTCTACAAAGTAATTTAACAAGTGAAAACCTGTCAACACCGCAGGTGGGCTCTCGCCCTCCCAACATGAGCAAAACCGTTCTACTGATTGGAATACAAGAATAACATTTCACCTCCATGGCCTGAATACCTCGTAAACCAAAATATAAATATGTAACAAAAAAGATTGTGCCAAATGCCTGCGCTTGGTCTCACATTATGAGTTGTTTGTACTATTCACGTATAAACTGCTAGTTATTAATTAAGTTAAACATTTATCTGTTCTTTTCGTCGTAAAATTTTTAGATACGTAGAGCTCTTAGACAAACGTGTGTGTGGTGGAGGGGGGGTGGGGCCGCGGGGGGGGAGTTGTACGAGTCCACAAGACATTACTTGGAGAGAGAGACAAAGAAGTCCGAGGCGGGTTGTTGGTCAGAGAGGTGCTACGCGACGTCCCGGTTAGAGTCGGGTTGGACTAGGGGGTAAATGACGTTCTTGTTCCATGCGACGCGGATCGAAAGGAGGAAATAGAAGTATGTCCGGTCACGTCAGTAAATTCACTGAGTTGAGTTTGTGGCGTCGTTGATAGCGACGCTTATTGTTTAGGTGTCTTTTAATAAGCAGGTAGTCCTATCATTAGCTAGAACTAGCTGGATCTGATCGATATGGACATAAACGCGAGTGAAGTCTAATCTGACGGGAGAGAGAGATCAGCTGCTGCTGACGAGTCGACACGCAGCTCTGCATGATCACATGCAGCGGTGAGCGGACAAAACACACACTTCAGGTTAGAATATCACACGTAGCTATTTTAATTACCTCTCAAACTACCTAAACTAGTTATAGATATGTTTAGTTTTACTGTCGGGTCACTCATTACTGATCCGCGAGCAACATGATACTGACGGGCTGTCAGGAGAGGGAGAGCGCTCCGTTTATTATTCCTGTGTTATTGTAAGTTACTGAACACTTTTGAATAATGTAGTTTATCTGCTTTAATTAGTTTGTTTAATATCGAATCATATCAATTTGTTTTAAAGCTCAATAAATAACAAAGAAGACCTTTGACCGGCACTTTTCTCCTTTAGTCGGGGAGATTTCAACTTTAACGGACATGTTGACCGGCAAAAAATAAGTAGGCCTATATATATATATATATGCAGCTGGATAGCATCCACATATTAATACTACTTTTATAACAGTTAAATGCAATCTTAAAAGTCAAAAGCTAATTATTAAAGAACTACATCAAGGTCACATGACTTCACATCACCATCGCTGGGAGACTAATGTTGGGCGTGTTGACGTTCAGTCGTCTCATTCAGACACAAGTGCCGTTTTTAAGACGTGTTAAATCCTTGAACATTCATCAGTGTGTCTTTTTACGGATTAATGTTGTAGAACAAAATGTAAATCCCTTATTTACGGCATCTATGAAAAACCCATTCAAACTAGTAGTGCTAACACATTCCCTGGACACACACAGGTTCAATCTAACACACGGAACACTAGTTCAAAAGTATACTATAATATACACACTTGCAAATGTATACAACACATTCCAGCAGTGAAATGATTGTTCATATAAACACTAGAATAATCCCTGCACGACTCACCTCCACAGTCCTGAAAATTCAGCTCATCCGTCTGTATGTCCAGGTCGTACGTCTTTAGGAAGGTTTTCATGGCTTGAGTGTACTTGCTGTAAGATTCCTCTTTAGATTTGGTGTAAGCAATTTCAGATTTCAGTGAGCGGGGGGTGTGTGAAAGACCTGAGAATCAAAACAGATGTTTGAGAGAATTATGAATGATTTCAGGAGAAATGAATGCAACCATGTGAGAGGAAAAACAACTAGGGCTGAAGAATTGAGTTTGAAGCTTCCAGAGATGTTTCCTTTCATGTCGATTCAATGTGTTGTTTAGAACTTGTATTTTGTATTTTTCACTGAATGTCCGGCAGTGGCTCAGCCAGTAGGGGCTTGGACTGTGAGCCGTAGGGTCGCCGGTTCAAGTCCCCGACCAGACCTAAATATGGAGAGTGGACTTCTACTTGGAGAGGTCCCAGTTCACCTCCTGCCCTGGTTCCCTTGAGCAAAGCGCCGGACACCCCCCTTCCCCTCCAACTCCCACTGCTCCCCGGGCGCTGTGCAATAGCTGCTCCTAGTACTAGACTCCTGCTGCTAGGATGGGTTCAAAGCAGAGAACACATGTCACCGTGTGTGCTCTGCATGTGAGACCATCACAGAGGGGTTCATCCCTCCTTATTCTATTCTATAAGTATTATACTGTTAGTACAATGAGACTCCAGTAGTGGCTGCTTAGCATTGCTGTAAATCCAAACATCCCCAATTACTACAGAACGTTTCAAAGTCCCGAGGTCAAAAAAGATAGATGGCATCCTTTCCAAAATTCCAGAAAAAGGATTTTGTATACAAACATTTTGTGTTAATCCAAATAAACTGTAGTCTTTGAAACAACATGTTAGCAGCTCTGACCAAACTGCTTGTTGCCCACAAAGGGAAACCTGCACTAGCTTATATGTATTAAAGACAGTTGCATTTTAAAATATATATATTAACTAATTGAATCAAATTGCATTAGTTTTTGATATTCAGGATGTTTCTTTGAGGACTTTTAGTGTCATGGTGTCATAAAATGTGACAAAAGATAACGAAGGACTCGTTAATGAAGCTTTAAATGTCACACAGTAACATCTGCGTTGAAACCACTCTGAACTGTTTTCTCCGTGTGGAGAGAGTTCCTCTGAGCTGCTCTTTGTTAGAGCCTCTGCTCTGTTATCTTAGGACGGCTCAACGTGGGGTCTTGGGGGTTTCCTCAGATGGTCTCTGGCAGTAATTTTCCACACAGAGGCGTCTCAGCCAGGCGTGGCACGAGGACGGAGCGAGGGCAAGTGAAAGTGTCTGTTTATTTGCTGCCACAGTTCTGAGAGGTTTCTGAGCAGCAGCAGCAGCAGAACGTTTGAGTTTCAGTGGCAGCCTGTGAAAGTTCACCACGATCCCCTGCCCCCACACTCACACACTCTCTCACGTGTGTCTCTCTCACAATGGAAACTTTTAGCCTGAGAGTGAGAGGCGGGCTCTTAGAAAAAAACGACTCCCTGCTTCCTTTATCATGCCACTAGTGGAAACTCACTTCAGCTCAAAGCAGCCACACTTCCTGCGGCCAAAAGCCAGTGACAAAACTAACCTGTGAGCATCAAGTGTTTTTACAATAGCTGCTATGAACAAACGAGACGTTGCTGGCGTAACAAGAAGATATTCTGGGCGCAGACTCTCGCAGGAAAAACTCAAAAAACGCTCCACTGCAGCAGCTGCGTTTTTACGCTCTCACAAGATTACAGATTAGAAATATTTCTGTAGGAAAACAAGCTTTACAGGCCCCTAAGCCCTGGCAAAGGTAAATCATTTTGGTACCAACATGTGTGTAAACATGTCGGCTGTGGGACAATCATTTCAGTCACAATGGGTGTAGCAGCCCCCTGCAGCCTGAGGGGAAACATTGACTGAGGGAGGAGTGAAGGACAAAATGGCTGAACCTATGTAAGGTCAGAGAGACGGCTGATTGAAGAGCGGCTCAGAGACACACCCCAACTGACACACACACACACACACACACACACACACACACACACACACACACACACACACCTTTCCATTCAAAGCTAATGTTTAATTGGATAGGTGAATGCTGTTTGTTTACCTGGGGGGGCGACTCTGTCCTGATAGGTGGGTTTGTAGTTGCTCAGCGTGAGCAGCAGCGCCTGAATGGTCCCGATGAAAATGCCAGCCAAGCATCCGTAGAAAATCACGTAGAACAGGAAGATTTTAACTGTAGGGGAGAAAATGTAACGGCATTAACAATGTGAAAGGAACGGAGAGTGAATTCATCGACACGTCAGTCATTTATATAAAAAGGAATAATCCAAACATGATCTGGTTTGTAGCCAGTCTCCTGTTTTAATACTGCTTGATGTCAATAAAACATTGGAATACTCAGAATTCAAGATGCTAGATTTATATGTCATTTCTTGAAACGGTTGGTAGGGCTTTTTAAGATTTCAATTTGAGAACGTTGAAGGGTTGTAAGGTTTAAATCCACCCAGAAGCTTCTGTTGTCACATCTAAACACTTAAAATGTAATTGCGCAATGATATCTAACCAAATGTCTCATACCCAAAGTAAACTAAACGTTTTGTCACTTTGTTTACTTTACAGGCAGTCCATCTAACTCTGATTTTATTCAAATAGTAAAAGAGTGTAGGTTAACATGAGTTCAATTCAAGCACTTTCTCCATTTTCTAAATATCACATTAAATTGTTCTCAGAGAATTGACACCGTTAATCAAACGGTGATGTCAAATGTTAAAGTAGAGAAACAAGTTGAATTTAAATGACCACTAAACAAAAAATGATCTTAATCAAGCAACATCTAAGTCAACTCCAAGTACACTAAAACAGTGGGTTAGCATTCAGGGTCAAATGTGGACTGCAGGAGGCAAGACAAACCTCGAGAACAGTCCCAACAGAGCGTCCATCAACCACACCTTTCTCCCCTCATTATGGAAGCCATTTTCGAACAGTAGGGACTCCATGCAGGGGCTTTTCTTGTCAACCTAATTTAAAATGTACTCCAATTACATAACAGCAGGAGCCCCCCCCACCCCCCGCCCCTCCTCAATGTGTCACCACTTACTGTCCCAACACTGTCCTGAGTTCCCGGGCTTTATTCATGCCCTTAATGCAGACGCAAACACCTTTAAATTAGCATTTCTTGTTTGCTCACAGTTCAAAAGAGATAAACCAACACCTAGACGAGTGCTCCAAGTGAGCTGCATGTTTTATGTTGGTAATTAAGTTTCTATCACTTTGAGATTCAGCCGATTGTTCCTGTTTTGTATCCTGCTAAACAAACCTCTTTATCTGAGATGTCTCCAGGGACAACATGTAAACAATAGAAGGCCTCTTGGTGATTTTCATCTTACTAAACAAGCTTGAATGAAATCCCAGATTTACAGGTTTTTGGTGTAAACTGTAAAAGCAGCCCAAAAACGTGACAAACCTATTTTTTGCAGTAGTACAAAAAGTCCCCGTGGATTTTTAAAATGTTGTTTTTTTAAATGCATTGAATACTTAAGGAATAAAGGGTATTCAAATCTTAAAATGATGTTGTTCCTGATTTGGCCTTAATTGGTTACATATATATTTATTAAATTCCTTTCACATTAAGATCACATTGTGTGTTAAATTGGTTTTAAATGTAATTCCATCTGGCTTTAATTCTTACTTGCATTAAGCTGTAAGCCCTATAAAAGGCGTATCTTATCTCCCATGCACCCTTTTAGGAGTAATTATTAATATAATAATATTCCTGTTGTTCCTACGTTAGGACAGCCTTGGCATTTCTAGATATCTTTTTGTATCTACTGCCAGATTGTTTCCTCCATCCCTGACGTACAGTTGCAGCCTTCTCCTGGCGTCTTATTGTTTCTGATTTTGGGTGCCTGAAAACCGACAGACGGCCTTCGTCTCCCCGTCCCTTTCTCATGAATGTTCTGTTGTTGTGGCACCTTCCCAAAATGTCTTCCCTCTGCCAGTTTGCGCGTGTAAAATCAGCCCCTGAGAAACCAGTTAGTCGGGTTTAACAGCAGCCCGAGCAGCACATCCTTATCTCCCGCTGCAGAGTTTGGGCGTACTCAAATGTACGGAGTAGTGTTTCCAGCCGATCTGATAAATGTACACCGGCTTGATGTTGTGTGCCTATAGGCTGCCGCCTCTCGGAGCACCTGCTGCTAATGTAAATGCACGGCGAGCTATTTTCCATGGAGTCTGTGTAGCAACCGTAGCAAGGCTGCGTGATGCACCTGTTGAGAGGGAAACCATACACTGACACTCCCAACGCTGGAGAAATGTGCAGGGATTCAAATTAAAGCTGCAACTATATGTAGAAACATCTATTGCTTGCTTCTTGTCATTTTAAAGCTTAAACTGTAAGCATTTGCTACTATTCTAGCTCAATATTTGATGGTCAAACAATTTAGTAGGAAAACCAAGACTGTTAATCAGTGAATTCAGTATAATTAAAGCAGTGATTTATTTGACATTTAAGATATCAAAAATAATGTTTCATTCAGCGTCTTGCGTATGGGTGAAAAGCTTATGCAAAACATATTACATTTTGGCTCATGGTGGCAGGCGAAATGCAGTCAGATTAGCGTGTCACCCAGGCAGTGTCAAGTTACACACAGGCCTTCTTTTATTTAGTCAGCCCTGTGATTTCATCTATTTAATACCAATTAGAGCTAAGGCCATCAGTCAATTGACAGAAAATAATTGGCTACTGTTTTGATAATCAATGAACCATAATACTCATTAGCCTCATAAACTCCTTATAGTTTCTCATTTCAAATGAGATAATTTCTTCCTTTTTTATTGTTTTATATAATAAATAACTACATTTCTGTGTGTGGTTTTTAAACAGACAGAACAAGGCATGTTAAGAGTGGCTCAGACTAAATGATTATCCTTTAACTGAAAACATTATTGGCAGATTCATCCATAATTAAATAGATCGATGGTTTCAGGAGAGTAAGTAACATTTCTAGGAATGTTAAAAGCATTATGTGGTCATTGTGATTATACATAGCCAGAGTCGATTATGTATAAATGCGCATTAGTGACAGAAGTACTAGGGCTGCAACTAAGGATTATCTTCACTATTGATTAGTATTTTAGTCTAAAACACGTTTCTAAAAGCCTTTTTAATTTCTTATGTTTGTCCAAAGGCTAAAGTTATTCAGTTTAGTAAGATATTAAGCAGGACATCTCCATTTTGTTTCCATGGAAAATGAGTTAAAGGAAAAATCAATTATGCCCATTTATTTCTGTTAGTTGAACAATCGATTTGACTGAAATCCATGCAGCTTTAAGAAGGACACCACACCATTTTGTAGCCTGAAAATCCAGATATACCAACAGGCAGACATGTAAATAGCTGACAGAAAGAAGTGGCCTACTGGTGGTGACAGGCAGAGTTTGAATGGAGAGCACCTCCCCCACCAGACTGCTGCAGCGTGTTGTGAAGAGAAACCACATTCACACCATGTCTCTCCACTTTTACTGACTGCCTTCTTATGTTGGACTTTACCAGCTCTGCGGTGCATTTTCAGACACATTCATCTAGCTCAAAATGTCACAAAAAGACAAGAAATGAGCCACCATTGAAGTCTGACATTGAAGCAGACATTTCACCTTCTTCCTCATAATGGAAACAGCAGAAATACACACTTTAAACAACGTATACTTAAGATTATTCCAAATGTGTTGCACTCTGCAACTCAAGGGCAGACATAGTCTACCTGTTGCTTTTACTCAGTGCGACACCAGCCTCCCTCACGACACACCAAGCCTGTAATAAATGCTATTCAACAGTATTACTACACTAAAAACGTGTTACGGTTTTACATATTTCACCTTTAAGTAGCTCGCCATTGACGATTGTTACCACAGAGCTGCGGCAGCATTACTGTGATTTTCTTCCGCCTCAGAATCAGAAAAAAACTATTTAATATGTGAGCTTTTATGATAAGCTTTTGAGGAATGAGAGCCTGTAAACTGGTAAAGAAAAGCCCACGAATGTTCCCTTTTTTCAGTGGAAATTAAGTCTGAGATGGAGGGGGGGGGGGGCCCTAGAGACATGTGAGTCGTGATCAGTCCAGCACCGTGTTACCGAGCCGTGTCTGGACCAACCTGGCTGCTTTTACACACCAAAAAAAAGCCATTTATAAACACATAAAACGAGCTTAAAGGGTGCTGTTTGAAAGTATGTTTCATCCTATCAAATCAACAAGCATTGTTGACCGTCTTCAAGTATTGGAAACGGGTAAAACGATTAACTGGATCTACTAATCTCTGTTTTTTCTTTTGAGTGAAAGCAAAGCCTGTTAAAAACAGGGGCCAGCAGATTAGCTTGTTATTGGGAGGAATAAATGTCCTTCTCAATGTGGAGGATAAAATAAACAACTTTCACTGTTTGGATCAGTGGAAAAGTCCTGGGCCAACACACAGACGTCCTTCAGGATGACCTTTTCATAAAGGGCGTTTTTTAATACATATATGAGCTACGCCTTTGGTAATCATTTCCTATTAAACTGTATTACTGTGTACTCTTGTAAATTGTGTAATTTCTATCTCTAATATGTTATGCTTGCCTCTTAATGAATATTTTGCCTCTTCACTTTTGGTGTAACAGTGTAAATGTCCTCTATGTGGGACTAATGGAGGTGTTCTGATTAACAATACATCCAACATCTTGTAAAAAAACAGCTAAAACACGTTTTCTGTGCAAATAACTCACATATAGCACCATGTAATTTGTTTAGTTGAAAATATGAGAACGTTTGAAACACTAGTAGACCTGTGGCGTGTCTTTTAGGGGCGGACTTATTCTGTTTCTGTAAATTGAGATTTGACAACTTCTAACACAGCCTCCATTGAAAAGGCGAAGTCACGACGCAGCAACAGCAGCATGTCAGATCTAACAGGTGCTGTGTGTCTGCAGGCAGGAAATGGAGAACAGAAAATAAATAGTTTCCACTCTCTTGAGGGGGTAACCTGTTGGTTTATGACATATTTGCAGCTGTACATTCAGTGAAATAAAAGGATTGAATACTTACGCCAACTGCTCCATGTTCGCCCCAAAAACTCCCTTTTCTCGGAATTCCACATAAATGACTTCCAACCGCCGTCGCTTTCCTTGTTAGCCGGCATATTCAAAAACTCCCCGTTATTTTTATCGAATATTTAATCGGTTTTTTTCTTCTTCTCCTTCTTCGAGCTCCGAGTGTTAACAGTCGCTCCACAGGAAATGCGAAAGGACAGTATCGTACCCGGCTCCTCCAATAATACCCACACACACAATTTATCTCTCGGGGAAACCGACTCCGCCTGCTAACTCCCGTAATAAGTTACCCCCCTCAAGAGGGAGGGCTGCAGCCAGCAAATCAAAATCTTCCTCCGCTTTTTGCGTAGAGAGAACAGAAGGGAGGGGGCCTATAGAGACAGAAAACGTCCAATAGTCGGCAATCGTTTTAAATGATGCCGGTGCCATGGAAACAGTCACCACTGCAGCCTCCTGGTTTCCAAAAACTCACGTGGCGACTAATATTTCAAACTATTGTTATGTCATAGTCTCTAATAGTCTGCTATGTGAAAGCTAAATACATCATTTATGTTATTAAAAAAAGAGCCACAAACTGATTCTAACTATAACTTTTCATGACAGGTGTGCAACCAATCTTTTTTTCCACATTATGTATTACAATATTGACTATAATAAAGGTGATATTGTTTATTCTTTAATCTGAAGCAGAAAGTTTTAAAAGGTTTTACATTAGCCTACTTTGGCTAACTGTTGTAACTGTTTATCACCTACTTCTATCTTGCTATTTTAACTTGAACAATTATATCTATATCTATTAGCCTACTACCTAACTATTTTAGCTCAATATCAAAATTACTACCTAATTATTTTAACTCTATATCAAAATTATCTAACAGCTGTTTTAACGGCTTTTCCATAACTTTTAGCCAGCTAGCCTATTTAAAAAATGTTTCCATTTTGCTACTTAAGCTAACTTTTCCAAATATTTTACTTAAGCTTACTAGCCTATCTGTTTACTTTTAGCTAACAAAATGTATATTTCCTTTGGCTAGCTATTCCCACCATTTAACCCCTACTTCAGGGTTGCCAACTTTGGGTACCAGGCTGGAGTGAGATTTTGATATCATGGGTTTAATTACAGATATGCGCACTAAATGACTGCTATCGTGTCAGTTGCGAGACCTTAGCATATAGGATATATACAATATATACAAATACACAATATTGGACACAAACTATAAAGGGCACAACGTTTCATTCACTAATGAAAGTCAAACACATGTTTGTTTCCACTGTTTTATTGTGTGCCTGTCGCGATAAGCAATTAATTGACTTATCGTACGATAAATAAAAATGAACTCGATAAATTGCCATTTACATGAGGATGTAACTAGCAGTTTGAAAGGATGTACTTGAATTATTATTATATATTATCATTATGTCAGTGGTCTAAAATGGTCATACAACGGTGCCGACAATATTATCGTTTATAATTTCCGGGAAAATGTATCCAACAAAATTCATTCGTGAGAGGCCTATATGAAACACACACACACAAACAAATCTACAGACTTACTCCAAACCGCCAAATATATTAATTAACACACTCTCACTCTCATATACTCTTTGACTCTATTTTGGCCTAGTAGAACAATAAGCAGCAAACTTTTACTTTTTTATAATTTCTACTGGATCTTAGATCTGCGCATGCGCAATACGGGTCGGATTGACCCACCTGCTCCCACTGATCTGCTGTCTGTTAACGTTGTTAAGAGTGGTGGGGGCGTATCGACAGCTTGAGCAGCTTTCAACTCAACATTGTAAATAACCAGCCAAAGACGATCGCCGGTTCATCTTGTTTTTGGCGTGAGAATAGTTTGGGCAGCGTGAGAGCGTGAGATTGAGAGTGAAAGCATGTGTCACACGCCAGATGCGTGAGAGTTGGCAACCCTGAGTTATTGTCTCTTTGCTATTAGTTGGTTGAATTGGAATTACTACTGTGTTGTTTTTGCTCAAGCTAACACAAGCTAAGTGTGAAGTTGGTAGCATTTGTTGAGCTTGCTAGTTTAAAACGGGCTAAAAGGGCATTGTGGATTTAATATATTTAATGAAATCAAATTAACATTTGTTTAAATGTAAGAATGGTCAAATAACATTTATTAATGGCCTAATGAAGTTGAGCCTTTTAGAAAAAAAAGGTATATTTCTTTATATATTTTACACAATGTTTTCATGCTATTTTGTTTCATAGTGTAGTCTGTTTCTGTTCAACATTGAACCCATTGAACACATGAGGCTCCATAGTTTCATTTGCTATTTTTATTTTAAGTGGGTGTCGTTGAATGTTTAATGGACACATGTATGAAGTTATAAAGTGAAGAAGCAACTACATGAGTATCAGTGCTAAGAGTAGTTTGGGTTGTAGCTGATTGAAGTGATAGCAGAGAAAAAATAAAGGCTCGTACTTTGATACATATCTGAATTTATCTCTGCCTCGAGTAAGTTGCATTTTGTATGTTGCAGGTGTTGCACAAGGCTGCTGTGCTGTACATTCCCATGGGAGGGGATGTAGGGCAAGGGACAGAAACATCAGACAGGATTAAAAAGTCTAATAATACTTTATTCCGAGTGTTCTTGCTTTTCTCTTTGGAAGTCATCACATAACGGCATTGTAATACACAGTTTGGTGGGTTTAAATATTACATATCTGCCGTAGTTCTCTATTTATAGGGCCCTGATGAGAAGACTTCTAGACAAACTGGAAGAAATGCCGCCAAAACTGAATATGTGACGTTGATCATAAATATATCAGAAATTAAACAACATCTTCAATTTCTCTTCACACAATACGTCTCCTCGCAGTATCAACATTAATTNAGAAATTAAACAACATCTTCCATTTCTTTTCACACAATACGTCTCCTTGCAATATCAACACTAATTCGGCTGACTTTTATATTTGATCCAATTGGTAGATAGGCTGTATTTACCCCATAATGGTGCACAGCTGATAGAAAGGGACTTGTAGTTTTTAAAGATATTACTGATTTTCCGAACTACCTTTCCAACTCCTCACGCAGTTTACTGTTACAGGTCTATACAGGTTTATGGTACAATGCATAAGCTTCAAATCGAGAGACTGAAACTGTATTTTCCTTTACCGTTCTGTTTTAATTTCACAATAAAGTTAATAGTAATATTATGTTTGATATTATTATGTTTTATTAACTAGACCACTGTTTTTTTAACCCGCACCGCCTAGTGGTTAAATCATGTTATTGAATTTAGTTGTTGAATAAGTTATATTTGATGAAAACATTTAAATATTAACAGTAGCCTACATACAAAATAGGGGGAACGTAGAAGGTCAATGATAGAAATATAGAATGACAATCACCTTCCCTGAATTTGACTCAGGTCTAACTAAAGTCTGATTTAAGGGTTGTTTATATTTCACATCATTAATCAGAATCTGCAAAGTAACTAAAATAAATGTAGTGGAGTAAAAATACCAGTTTAACCTCTGAATTGTAGTGGAGTAGAACAAAGTAGTTTGCTGCTGTAAAAAAAACACTTCCCAACTTGGGATCAATAAAGTATCTTATCTTATCTTAAGATGATCGATGGCTACTGCCATATTTGCAAAATGTGCCTCTGAACCTTGACAAGTGCATGTTTCACGCTTATCAATGAACAACAGGAGGGGTCACAGACATAAGACCAGCTGTTAAATAAAGCTCTTCTGACCTTAGCTGTCATGTGGGTATATTAATGCTGCCCATT